GAAAGGCTCACACTTAAACTTCAGTAGACAGAAAGATTTTGCTTCAGCAACTACTTGTATGTGGAGTAAGAGTAAAGGGAAACAGAGAGAAAACATAAAAGACAAGACAGGAGATTTCTGTCCTTTCGTAAATTGTGGGAGCCTCTAAGATTGAAACGGGAAATTCAGTCTAGCTGCTTGGAAGTTCAGCAGTTTCCTTTTTAATTTGTAGCTCGATTCTTGGGAGATAGAGGACTTGGAGTATGAATTGTACACCTGTTTTCCTTGTTACTCTGCAGACACCAGCTCACATAATTTTTTTTCATAAATCAAGCTTTTTGTTTAGCTCCTGTTATTTTTGTTCAATGGCTGATTTAGAAGATCAGCCCTGTGGTTAAAACCTTGAACTGACAACCTTAACTGTTTCTGTGACTAAGTCTGGAATGCCTGAACTTTGTGTTAGTGAAGTGTGCTGTTGGTAACTAAGGGACTAATGCTTTGTGATGAAGATGTAATTTTATAAAATATGGAAGATGATTGTGTTTTCCTTATCGTTCTCTATTTAATGAGTTTGTTTAAAATATGCTGGGAAAGCTGAGGGTGGGGGGGAGAACAGAAGATTTTTTTTCCTCTCTGTTACTGTTGCCTTTTGAATCTGATACATGAGACTTACTTAATGGGTTTATTGACTTTTTTTTTTCAGTCGGCCTCTGTCTTCTAAATGGTCAGCAGCCAGCCCAGCAAGCCTTGCAGGCAGAGGTAGGGTCGTTGCTATATAGTGCAGTGCACGATAATTGTTCTTTATGTTCTTTGAATTAAAAGTTTTAAATGCAGCTTAAAATCTTACTGTCTTAAGCATTTACCCTGTTTCCAAGTTGAATAATTGTACGTGTCACTACAAACTGTGCTTGGAGCTAAGATTGCCTTGTATTTGCTTCAGATTTTATGTGTTTTCAGTTGTTGCGGGTATAAGACGTAGTTTGCTATGTATTGGTGCTATTAATTGATCATCTGTCTTGGACTTCTGTCATGAAACAGTCACTCTCAAAGAAGCAAAACACAATTCTGTGGTCTACTCATGATTGAGGCTTATGGCAATTGGAAATGAAGGGCTCGTACCTTTCATCTATTCCTATGTAGCTGCTGCTCTTTATTAAAAAAAAAAACCAAACAAAAACAAACAAACAAACAAAAAAAACCCCACAAACACCCACCAAAAAAATCCAAACCCACAGATTTGTAGTTCAAAGAGTTTAATTTTGTCATGAGTTTTCAGAATTTAATATCTTCGTTTGCATTTTACATAATGTGATTTTAACTCTTGCAGAGTAAATAATTGAAATCCTTTTTACAAACAGCCAGTAATTGAGAGTGCTTGTTTTCTGTATACTGAATCTGTTAAGGGGGAGTCAAGTTTTGAAGACATAAATTAGTGGTTAAAATTAACTGAAGGGAATAGTTAATATTCAGTAAATAACAGGCGGCGGATATAAAAATACTTTACAGAAGATTAGACTCTAAAGCAATTCAAGGTATGAATTCAGCTTGCCTGTGGCTTTATCCTAGCTGAAGTGTGGGAATATTTCCTCAGTGTCACAAGGGATGCTTTCAATTTCCTTGTGTTTGTGAAGCATTCAGTAATGTAATAAATCACATAAATGCTCAGAATTACGTGATTTGTACTAGGGTGGGAGCACACAGTTCGTATTAAATAATGGTAAAATTTCATGCTGATGAAGATAAATACGGCTGCAAAAGAAACTGTTCTTTATCTGAATTTCATGGCAACACCAGGTCTAGTTTGCTGCTTAACCTCAAAAATACTTGGTTTAATATTAACTTGGTTTACATTATTTTACATTGCTTTCTGTACTTTTTACAGGTATGCTGCAGTAGTAGAAAATGTTGACCTTTTAAAGATAATTAATTTTATTCATTACCAACTAATTTCCTGATTTTTTTTAATTTTTTTTTTTTTTTGGTGGCTGTTGTTAGTTTCAGGCAGCAGCAAGAGTGTTCCAAGCCCAGGAACTCTGCAAAGGTCTCGCAGTGACATTGATGTTAATGCTGCCGCAGGTGCAAAGGCCCGCCATGCTGCTGGACAGACAGCTGGAGCTGGGCGCTTGTCAGCAGCTGGCCTACCTCCAGGATCTTATGCTTCGCTAGGTAAGGGAACTATCTTTACAACACTGAAGTATTTATTGAAGTTTTTGATCAAAAGGTTAAAGGAAAATACTTCTACAGTTGAAAAATTGTCATCGTTTTGAGTAGTATAGGAATATTGCAAAAGAGCAGGTGTTCTGGAGTAAGTTAACAGCTTTGCTAGATGTTTTATTTTACCTGTGCCGGAAGAGTGCCAATGTAAAGACTGTATCCATACTATGCTCCTCAATTGTGGTAATCTGGAATTAATACTAAGTATTGGGAGGAGCAGTTCACTTAACAGCAGATGATGGTCGTGGCTTTTTGTTTCTGGAAGTAATAGGGGTATGAGTGTTAGGACTCCTGATTTTCCATTTTTCTCAGCCCTTTAGCTGACTGTTTTACAGCAATGCTAAAGAGACATCCTGACAGTAAGTGGTGGCTTCTTCATGTAGTGCAGAAATGGTTTACACAATAATATACAGCATTGATTCATAGATTTCTTCCTAAGCATGTTGACGGAACTCTGTGTATGCTTTTATCTAGGTGACAGTCTTCCTACGTCTAACAGCAAGTATTCCTATCAATGAAGTGCTACAGATGATGAGAGCGCAGAAAAGTATTTGATAGTGGAGGTGGTGGATGCTAGAACCTCCACTAGGTCTAAATTAAACCAACCGGTGGGGGGGGGTAAAGGAATGTAGTCATATTTTTGTTCCTTTTAGGTTATCCATTCTATAGGAGTAGCAATGGGGAAAGTGAGTTTTGGTGTTCACAAAACTGTTAGTGTTTTTTTCTCGGCTTGTGTGCCACCTAGATCACCAAGGAGGTGTGTCCTAATGTCGGTATTGCTGAAGATGATCACAAGAGAGGCAGAGACTGTATAGTTCTTCTGATTTACCTTGTGTTTGGGGAGATGTTAGGATGTACTTGCGCTGTGGTTTTCAAAGTTTTGGGTTGTGCTTTTTTAAATTAAAATTTAAGTTAAAAGCTATTTTAAATTAGTTAATTCTTTTGTCATCAGGGCCTGCTTGAAATGGTTTGGGCACCACTAATTTCAGGTTTGAGTTCATGAGTGTGAGCAGTGCTGAAAGGAATACTTGCTACTTGAAATAGTAATTTTGGGTGTGGGCTCCCTCTAGTGCCCACAGGGGGGGAATCAGAGAACCTGCGGGCTAGCAGGTGGACACCAAAGTTAGGCTGCTCCGTTTGCTCAGTGGAGGAGATACACTTCTGGTTATTGCTTGAGGAGGTCTCAGTTCCTCCTAACTTAACGCCTAAAAGCCTGAAGTAGATGGGATGATTATTCTCCAAGATCAGAGCATTACCTGGTGTGGCAAGCAACAGGACATCTTCTGAGTCTCGGACGGAGCTGGAGTTCAGCTGTTGTGAGAAGTAAAGGTGACACAGAGCCTGGTGGTAGAAAGGAGAAAAAAAAAAGTGAAATGGAAAACAGAGAGGAATCTCTCTCTGTTAATCTGTCGTCTTCGTGCTGCTGAAATGAAGGGACTATGTTGGTCTTAAGAGTTTCACAGAAAGATAGCTCTTGATTAGAGTATTGGTTTGCTTTCAGAACATTTTAAGCAATATGTGATTCATGTCTAGAATTTTGTAAGCAAGGGTTGAGAAGATCACAGAGGTTTTCAGGGAAGTAAATAGTGGTGGTTTTATACAGGAAAGCAACAGAGAAATAGCGTATTCTCTTTCATAGTTTATAGATTTGGTGAGTGGGGGTCAGGGAGAGGAATAAATAGGCAGTAAGACCAGGTCATACTCTTTTGAAGGATTTGAGTAGCTGGAAAGCTTTTGCCTCGTTAGCAGATGCAGTCACTTGTGGAGAAGAATACAATGGCCATTTGAAATGGCAAAATAATGTGATACAGTGAAGTCAGATTCTATTATAGATAATATAAGGGCAGTGATAGTCAAGGAGACCAAGGTTTGTTTACAGTCACAGAAAAGCAGTACTGCCTGATTGATCTTGGCTCATTTTCATGACAATTTTTCAGTAGTAGTAAGGTAATTTAAATGACACATACCTGTCCCTACTTACCTATGTAGTGAGTGTGGCTTTTGTGTGGATTAACTATGGAATCCACCTCAAAATATTGTTTGCTCTTAGTTTTCAAAAGGTAACCTTAAAATGAATGGAGTGGGAATCCAAGCAAGTGCTGTGTTTCAGCAAATGGGCTAATTTGCAAACTTCTCTGTGTTCATTTTAAGGGGGTTGTTTATCCTAAATCCAAATATGGCAACTTAAATGACAGAATTGTCAAGATAATGCTGCCCATGGTAGTAAAATGTCTAGAAAATGTTACTCTTTCCATAATGCTTTCCACATCATCTCAGGTGTTGTAGTCAGTACCAAAATAAGTAAGTCTCCTCTGAAGCTTGAATTTATTTTCATTTTCACCCTTACTTACAGAGAAACATCCACCATTTGCTTAAACAGCTGTGAAATTTAGAGCCTTACGGGCAAGTTCATGAGCGTAGTAATCTATATTTGTCTACACTCATCTCTTCCCATTTTATTATTAATAGAAGAACTCTTGCTTGCTTATTTATGTTTTTGTTGTTTGTTGGTTTTTTAAACTGTTCTAGAAGCATGAGGACATTCTCCGGTTATTCTAAATGTTGACTGTCTTTGACATCCTTAAGTATGAATGTCCTTTTTGAGCAGACTCGAGCTGTAATTATATATGTGTCACTTTAAATATTTAAATTTTGATTGTTACTGTCAGAATATGTATGCACTACCTTCCAGATGAAATGGTAGATCTTTAATGCTTTTAAATCTGAGTGGAACTTTCTCTCATTTGTCCTCTGTTTTGTGATGTCTTTTTTCCTTCTCTCCCTTACTGCAGGTGGGGCTTCATGCTCAGTAGCAAATTTCCTAAGAAAAAAAAAATACTGTAGTTCAGTAACGATATAAATATGTACTGATGCTTCAGTAACTGTTGACACCAAGCATGAAACAGTTTATAAATATTTTACTGTAAGGGTTTGCTCAAATCTGGGTAATATGGAGAGATGCAGCATCCCTATGCAGGGTACTTGTACCCCCTTCTGTAATTTTGTGCCTTGAACTGAGAGAAACCAACTTTACTTAAGGTAGCTTGTACATGCATGAATTAGATAAACGTCTGCTGTATTTAATATTAATGTATTTTCCTTAATTAATGTTTTATGACTCTGCTGTGAACACCTTTATTCTAACACACTAAGTTTTCCATGTTTCTTTGCCTGCTTTTTCAACAAAGAGGATACTTCTGACAAGATGGATGGTAAGAAATTGTTTAGTCTGTCCTCTAATTCTATTAAATATTTAATAAATTGTCTTTTATGTAAAATTATTGATGTTTAATGTATTTGTCTGTTCATTAACAAAATACTATGCTGTTTTCGTTAACCCCTATGTAATCTTGATGTCTTAATATGTGCTGTGCTATTGCTGTATTTGTTAATGGTTTTGATGATTGTTCTGTATCAGCAACAGAAACTTTCTCAGAAATTGGATGTTACTCCTTTTTTTTAAAAAAAAAAAAGTCTGTTGATTACAGAGCAGTTCTGTAATCGGTATATGCTTTTTTTAACTAGCTCTAGTTCTACTGTGTTTCATAGTTTTACCTATAAAGTCAAATTTATTGACTTCTAGCAGAGCAGAAAGGGGAGAGCAGAAGATGCTTGACCATGTTATTAAGGACTTTTTAGAAAAAGAAACAAACAACAACCGAAACCCCAAACTAAAATCTTCTCTTTCAAAAGTACTCCATAAAAATCTAGTCTAGCTACGTAACTTTAAGACCCTGTAAATCCTGTAATACAATGTAATTCTGTTAAAGAATAGTTTAAGACCACCTATCTGATAAAATAGCTTACCAAGTATTCCAACTAAGTTCTAGCACTTACTTTTTCTTAATTCACTGTACTAAACACATGGAGGGAGTCGTCATATATTTTTATCCTAACTGCAAAGCAGTTGAGAATCAGGCTTCTCATAGCAGTTGCTTTCGGGTGTAAGTAATGCTTCCCCTATAATAACGTGACAGAGTCCCAGCTTGATGCCTGATAATTCTAGTTCTCATTTATTGCTGGGGAACACTTAACAAGTCAGTTATGTTTGCTACTTACTTAGTACTTCTTGTCACATATGTTTATTAATAGTAGGTGTTTCAAAGAATGAGTAGTTTACTGGAAGCAAAGCAGGCGATATCTCTAAAACCCAGAATCCTGCATCATTTCATGAGATACTTTTTGGAAGTATTTGAGTCATTTTTGATGGCAAGCCTACTTTAATAAAATGAGGGGGCTTTGTACAGGGTAGTAGTGTCTGTCTTGCTTATTTCTGTATCAGATTTTGTTATGTTGTGCATAATAGGATTTATTTATAACTGTCTGTGCTAAACGCTTAATCTTGAGCGTTTGCACATTGCCACAATCAGTAAAGGTTCTTAGGGCCATGGGTACAGGCTTTTTCTTTTGTTCAGACCAGTAGTCACAACTAATGATGTCCCACACATCTGTTTAAAAATAGCAGAAGTGCTACACAATGGATTAGAATAACAGGGTGTTTTTTGTAGAGGATATCCATAGGGATAATGTGTGAGACAGAATGAACACAACCTAGCTCTCCAGCTGTACTTATGCAATACAGCTACTCTGGTCTAACCCCTCCCAGGAGGAATTAATGGTTTTTCCTTTTCCCACTAGTCTTGGTCACAGATTTTTACCACTTCTTTCACTAGTGCCTTGTAATACTCCATTATTAATCACTGTAGGTGAACAAACTCCAGAAAACTGATTTCATAAAAGTGAATAGTATTCTGTTATTTAGCTTTTGGAGCTGACAGTGAGCCTTTAGCTATCCAAACCAGGTGGTAGCACAGGGATGGAGAGGAAGGAGAAGCAGAACCACCCCTTTTAGGAGCAGCTAGCCATTAGCCTGGCTTAAGTGTAGCGTAGAACCTGCCTTCCAAGATCAAACTCTGGAAGAGTGTTGGATTTGAAGGGGCAGTTTAATGTTTGAGGTTTTTTTATGCAGACTGGCAAATTTGATCTCAAACTTTAAGGCACTCCTACATACATATTACTGTGAATAAGCATTGAAACTTATATTGAATAATTTTTTAGACAGAGTTTTTAAAAATAGTGCCTTGAAGATAGTATATGAAAAAGCCATAGCCAGATTTGCTGAGAAAGTGAAGTTCAGGCTAGCCAAAGGTACTAACAAACTTTTTAATCATTGTAGTTCTTTTACAGGGCAGAAATGGCAGAGAGTGAAAACAAAAAATGGAAATACCCTTTGATTTTTTTTTTTGAGGCATTTAATGTTTTTATTACTATTAATACATATTTTATTCCATAATCGGATTTGTTTCAAAGGAACTTAGAGGAAGGACTGCTGATTAGATAGCTTCCCATCAATTCCTAGGTACTGATGTCAGTGAAAAAGATTTGTCCAACTCATTTTTCATAATCAAGCTGGGCATACTTGAACAAGTGTGATCTGGTTTCAGCAAGCTCACATTACTTCGTCTTCTCTGAGCAAAACTTGATCTTGTGCATGTAGATCTTCAGAGTAATCATGGATTAAATTTGGAGAAATCCTCCTTGCTGGCAGTTCATATGAAGTTATCACTGTCCAGTGTGGGAAACACTGTCCTTGTTTTTCTCTGAGATAATTTATAATAGTGTGTTTTATATTTTCAGAAGAGCTTGCATAAAAATATTTTTAATGTCTGTTTTAATCTGTACATGTCATTCTGTTGACTTATCTCATAGATTATTTTTTCTTTTTTTGTGTGTGATGTAACAAGTTTGGAAGGCAGTGCTATATATTGTGTTCTTGTAAATCACTAACAGTACAGTACAGTATGGATCTTTCTTGATAATTTTGCTTGAGTTTAATAATGGAGTTGCAGCACAGAAGCTTTAGACCTCTTGACTCGATAAAATTTGTCAAGATTAATAAGATTAATCTCAAAAAGGAAATGGAGACACACAGTATTGTTTGGAATATCATTTTATTATTTTTTTTCTGTTTAGGAACAGCTTCTGAAGATGGTAAGAAAATATTTTGTTAGAATAGCTAATATTTTCAGCTTCGTATTTTCATTGATACAAATTAAGCCTTAAAAGTAGAATGTGGTTTTTCTGGGGCTTTGTGGAGGTTCATAACTTCGGATAGCTTATGCATCTAATACTTGGTTGTCATGTAGTATTTTTAAAATTTTTTTGCTTTTATCTTAATTCTCAAGTGCTCATCTACAGTAGAAGTGTCATTGCTTAACATTTTTAGTGTGAAAATATAGGAGCTTTATAATTTTGCATTTGTTTTTTAAAGCAAATCTTGTCACAGAATATTTCATCAAATGTGTTCATGCTCTAGGAAGCCGGTGCTACTATTACTCTCCTCTTGAAATTTGGGAATTCATTTTGAATACACTATTAACATTTAAACCTGTCATTAGTGAATGGGTGTAGAGATTGAAAGTCAGTTAACAGTTTGTTTGCCTCCCAAATACAAACTTTTTTTTTACTCTGATAAAATTGAACCAGGTTACAAGCAATAGTTTAATAGTGGCACTCTGTATTCCTAAGTTTTTTGGGCCAAATTCTGAATGCAGTTACATGCCTTGCAGTCTCACAGAAACACTGCCATTGCACAGGGATAACTAGTAGAGTTTGGACTAGTTAATCTAACCGTTCTTGCTAGCATATTGTTTTCTAATAGTTTAGTGAATAACCTCCTTTATCCTGATTCTCTTCTTATAGACTCTCATCTATGGCTATTCCCTCTACTTGGATGAATAATATAAACTTGGTTGGTCTCCAAATTCTGCTGTGGAAAGCCTAAAGAGGCTAGAACTAAATAATAGTCTGTGTACCTAATTCTTCTGGGTCAAATAATGACTCTACATGTCTAGAAAATGTTTCAATTGTGCTGTTTTTAAAAATGGAGTACTTGTTGAGCTAGATTCCCCCCTGTGCAAGCTTTTCGGGTTTTGGTTTTGCAACTTATAAGAATTATGGTTAGCATGGGTTTTGGTTTTGTTTCATTTTTCTGTTGAGAGGTTGGCTTAGGAAATGTAGTACAGAACTCTGCTATTTTCTTTTATGAATAATGTTTCAGTTACCTATAATTCCTCCATCTGGGGTCTTCCTCTCTTTTGTAATTTCATTGTATGCTCTGGATGTTACGAGGAACATGACTAGCAATGCAGAAGGGTTTAACCCAAACCCAAGGCATTCTAGAGAGAAGTGAGTCTATTGTTTTAGTTGTAGGTACCCAGCTTAATTTGTCTCTTCTGAGTTCTTCTATCTGTTGAGGAGGGTAATATTTCTCACTGAGAATTTCTTAAGTGTAGTTAGTCCTTGCAAATGCTGTAAAAGGCTTGGGAAATCCTGTGGAAGTCTGTATTACTACGGCCAGGAAAACCTTAGAATGGTCAGTAACAGGAAAACTAGTATTTAGATTTCTAAAAAGAGAAGTTAGGAAGAGACTTCAGAGAAACCAACATAATTTTTGTAGTTTTACAACGGCAAAAGTAGAATTACAGCCACAAATAATCGTGAGAAAACTGTACCTGATACAGCAACATTAGCATGTATGTTGCCTCTTACATTTAATAAACTTCCCTTTTGTTAATATAGTCAGCCTATCTATGTAGGAAGAAAGAACTCGCTATCTAGGGTCAGTTGTTTACTGAAACATGTAGCATCAGAGAATATTTTAATTCCTCAACTAGCAAATCCTTCAAGGTGTTCAAATTTCTACTAATTATCCCAAGTGAATTTTCACCAATTGAGTTACATTATGCTTCTTTTTTTATCTGCAGAAAGTTAAGAAAATACTAGTAAATGCTACTGATGCTTTGCTTTCTACATTACTGTGGAAAAACTGATTTAATACCATTTTTCTTTTGTAGGTCGTGTGCGAACAAAGCTTTCAACGCCTTCTGTTGGTATTGGAAACTCTAAAATGGATTCCAGAGGACGGAGTAGAACCAAAGTGGTGTCACAGTCTCAGCGTATGTATTTTCTGTTTGTCAGTTATACCTGATAAAGAAGCCAAATGCTTAAGCATATGTTCATTGACCAATGGCTACAGTCAAAGTTAATTTTAAAAAAAAGCTACATACTGAGTTGTTGTTCTGTGCCTTAGGTTCATCATCGCCAGACAAAAATGAAGGTATTTTTTTCAGTGTTTTGGGTCAGTGGTATTTGCATGCTTTTCGAATTCATGTTGTTTTTCTCTGGACAAAATACTAGGTTAGGTCTTAGTTTGCCAGTTAAATTAGATGATGTAACAGGAAATGGAGTTAACCTTAAATTCTGTCTTCAATTATAACTTCTCAACATTCTTTTCCCCCCCTTTCTGACCTCCCCAACACAAAAGTAAAACTTCTGTGTCAGTTACAAATGGATGAGTAATACAGAAGAATGAGTAGGCTGAATGGTGACCTGAGTGTTACCTGCAAAACCTAATTTTTCATTTTTCAGAAAGTCTTTATTTTTCAGCCAGAAATACCTATTTTCGTTTTCAGCTAGATTCTAGCACTTGGGTATATGCTCCTTTTTTTTGTAATACAGCTGTTACCTTTACTTAACTACTGTTACCTTTAGTACCACTAAACCCTAACTTTCTAATCAGTTACTTAGCTTATATTGAATCAAAGTGTTAAAACAAGCAATTTACTGTATGTCAGCTAATCCACAGTAATTTTCTATGTGTGTTTAGAAACCAAAGGAAATGCAAAATTTCCTGTCTACCTGATATTAATGGCTCTGTCATTAATTAAAAAGACATGATTACCTCGCATTCTTTGGCACTGGCTGACCTACAGCAATTTGTTCACACATCTGACGTGTGTCACAGCAGACATCTTCTGACTAAGCTCTCTAGTGTTTTCAGATTCTCATCTTTGTCTAATGAAGTGACATGCAATGTCATTAATGAAAGGAAGACAAATTAACAAGAAAATAAATAAAACAAACTACTAGTCCTATAGTTAGTCAGGTCTACTGTTATAAACCCAGTAAATTATGCAGGTTTTGAATTTTCCAGTACAATTATTTTGCTATCAGTAAGCATACCTACTTTCTTTTAATAAAACCCCTTAATTCTGTGGTTTATCTTCATAGCAATAACTGCATTAAGCATAGAATGACTTTAGGGGTTAAAAAAGCAGGTAAAAGAGTTTTGGGGTGTTTTTCCCATTAAGAGTACTTCCTTTTCAATTCTACATTACTTAATTTTCCAACAAATACAGTCGGATCAAACCTGATCTAATGCTTGCAGGTTTTGTGAAATGCAGCTTTCAAAAACTCTGAACAGATAAATATAAAATAATAAAATCCAGTAAGAGAAGTTCTCGTAGGTTGTTTTTTTGCTTTGACTGCACTAATCCCACAAGTGATTGTGGGATGAGACCTTGAAAATAAAGTCTAGTTATTGGCGGTGACAAAGGTTGTGCAAAACTTGTTCTATGTTTTTCAGTGTTAAGATGGCTACTCTATATCATAAGCAAAGAATATTTGGATTGATAATTTAAAGGGGGGGGGTGTGTGACAGTCCTGTCAAATCACTTTCTCTCTTTATGAGAAGCTGTAAGCAGTATCTGTAATGCTCTTTTCATTAGTATTAGGAAAGCTCTGAAATAAGCTTTTTGAAAATACCTTTGTACTTTGAGTAGAATTAAAAAGTTAAGGTGTTGGTTAAACTGTTTGGGGGGAGGGGTTACATTTAGGTAGCAGTATAAGACTTTTGTGATGATCATTGTCATATAATAGTAATTAAACTGACTGTATATTCAGGGAAACAAACTGAAGCTTTTTCAGTATATTTTTACTAGTAATGACAATATTTTTCCAAGATAATTCACTTTTGCACAGTGTTAATGTCTAAAGAGATAAGTTGAATTGATAGAGCAGTAACTAGATTTGTCTACGTGAGATCGTGTGTGAAAATTAAATGCATGAATGCATCTTTACAGCCTTTAATTACTACTTCTGTTCAGAACTGATGGCTTCAGATAGCTCATTATAACCTGTCAGTGGGGGAGAACAAGAATTCTGAGATGTTTTAAGGAAGATAAACTGGGCAAATACAAACGGACAGGTGAAGGAGAATTGTCAGGCACTGTATGCCAGCTATTTGGGTGATGCTTCTTTACATGACTGAAAATTTTCACAGCATTGTGGAGAGTGAGATGCTTGATGTTTCCATACAGGGGATTGCTTTAGTTCCCCAGCTTATAGTGAGAAAATAGCTTCATATTGGATTTAAGTTTTTCTTTTTTAAAAACCATTGTAAAACATACTTTTGTAAGTTTAGGGTTACAAGTATTTAGCACTGTTGTTCAAAGATCATCTTATGAAAGACTTGCAAATTTGAATGCTTTTACAAAAGATACTTTTTTAGGGTTTTAGAAGCCCTTTACTCTTCTATTTTTAAATTGTAACATAAAATAAATGCATATAGAATCTATAGCTCATTATTTTATTCTCTCTGTGGAAAAAAATTGTTCCATTTTTTTCCTCTCGCTGTTTGGTTGTCAGGTAATTCATCAAGGAGTGCTAAAATTACATTACAATCTTCATTCAGAGAAAAAGAATTAAATTTCTGAATGGAAAATCCTTGCTTTTATACTTCAGATCAATTTTACAGAGGAAAACCTGAAATTCTATGCAAGTCTTTTCAGTTGTGCCATTGTGAGTTTTTTTTTTTTTGTCATCCACCGCACCTGCAGCTCAGTTCCTTTACTGTCTGTCTCAAAAAAAAAAAAAAAAAAAAAAAAAAAAAATGTTTTGGCCTTATGTGTAATTTTTGTTCAGCTGTTGAACTTCTTGAACCTTTTTGGCAATGTAATATTCTTTTAAAGTAATATGAAGGCTACAGTTTCATGTTTAATTGAAATTTAATTCTTCAGTATTACCCAGTTGTTGATTAGAAAGCTGAAGAATTGTAATTTCCTTGTGCGGCTTTGCTTCATCTGCTTTGTACATATAGCATCTGAGTTTAGTTCTTCAACTGTGGAAGCTACTTAAAAGCACTGCTTTAGCATAACCCCCTTGTGGCTTTTTTTCCTGTGAAATGACTAAAGCTTTCTTATTTCCATTTGCCATCCATTTTTTAATCTGCTCTGCTCCCTCCCTCTTCATGGATTATAAACCCCTACCCTAATCCTGCCTTTACACTTGTTCAGGATCACAGTCTGCTAACCCCATTGGTGGTAAGAGTCTACGGAATTTGTGTATACATCATTGTTTGATCACCTGTTTGACATATCTCATTCAAGGACCCTATTCAGCAGAAATTCTGGCTCACTTCTTTCCATATGCTGCACTCAACTAATTGGATGTAATCCTTACTTAGACGGCAGTAAAGGTGGGAGGTTTTTGTCATTCTGGGATACTGTTTTAGTGCTCCTTCTTTCATCATTCAGTTTGCTTAGATCAACTACTGGTAGTACTGACCACAATATGCCAGTGCTGCTGTTAGCATAATATTTTCAGGACATTAAGCTTCATTTGGTTTAGTTATCCTGTCGTAGTATGCTTTGCAGGTCAGACAATAGAAAGATAAATAATGTGTTAGAATGAGAGGTTCTCTTCTGAGAAAAGTAACTTTTTCAGGTTTCTGACCTATTGAAGAACCTTCTAAAAGTCTCTGTCACAGTGAAAACTTTTACGGTACTTCAATTATTTTGAAGAGATACAAAATATTAGAGGCTAGGAAGAAAGCGTATTGGTATCAGGACTGAGTTAAAATGCTTCGTTAGGAAGAAACTGCTAAACCCTTAATTTTTGCAGACCCACAGCAGTTTTATGACTTGCCTATTCTTTTTTTTTTGCTATGGAATTTATGCTTTTTTTTCCCCCAGGCTGTGTAATACTTTATTTATCATTTCTGCTGAATAGGTTCATAGTTTGGAAAAGGGATTTTGCTAAATAATCATTTCAAGTTTGAATTCAAACAATGAATCTGAAAGTATATGCATGGTACATTGTTTTAATTTTCTCCCTTCCACCCAGCATATGTTTTATATTGTTTGGGATTTTTTTTCTTTTCCCATATAGTCAAGCTTTAATCAACTTGTATCTTTTTTTTAAATGTGCCTCATAAGAAGTAACCCATGAAACTCACTTGAGGTGTTGCATGTTAAGTCTATAGTTCTGATAGCATAGCTGTGGTCATACAGTTACCTGATTGTTTTTAAAAGATTAATGAAAGCTTCGTATCTGTATGTAACTAATATTTGGTTAAAATTATGTTTTGCTTTTTATTTGGTCAGGCTTCTTGAATTCTGCATCTGGAAACTATATTGTCATCAACTGGTGGTATAAATTGGTTATAACTTCAGAAGAATGGATTCTTTATTAGGGCATAGAACTTAAATCTTCTGTAACTGAAGTATCAAAATTAGGGATCAGTGACCAGTTTCTGGTAGTGAGTACAGTGTGTGGAAACGAACATTTATAGCACTTTGTAATGTATTGTTCTGATTAATAAAAATATAAGACACTTAGGTACGTCTTGATCAGCTTTTTAGCTTGTTTAAAGCTAATTGAAGATTTACTGAAGAATTTGTGGGGTAACCTCCACAGAAAGGACCATGAGTATTTTAAGTGTCTCCAGTAACATTTTATTTAAGTTCTCAGAGAGTAGTGCTTGAAGACCCTATGCTTTTAAAAGCAAGGGAAAAGAGTTTAAATGTTAGGAAAATTATAACACTGGTTGCATTGGAAGAGCTGGGATAATTATGAAATCACTAGTTTAAAGTTGCTCTAACTTTTTAGCAGTTCTTTTGGGTTTTTTTATTCTTTTTTAATAGAAAATGTGATTAGTGAGACTATGTAGCTTAAAAAATGAACACACCAATGTTCATGTTAGAGACATTGGAACTGTTGATGAAGACTAGAAATATTATTTATGATTTCTTGAGTGTATCTAGTGCTAAATACTAGGCCAAGTGCTTCCTTGCATTGATAATTTTACCTACCTTGTATGTAGTGCTGTACAAACTTGGACGAGGGTTTTCTATTTCACATTTTTACCTTGTAAGTTTTTACAGACCATTTCAATCTGCCACCACTTTCCTGTAATTTTAGCATTTTTTTCTTTTTAACCATGGTTGTTTATCTTCTGTGCTCTTACTTATGTTTATTCATTTTGCCTTCAGCTGGCAGTAGATCTGGATCTCCTGGAAGAGTTTTGACAACAACCACACTTTCCACTATGAACACAGGAGTTCAGAGAGTGTTAGTGAATCCTGCAGCTGCACAAAAACGAAGCAAAATCCCACGAAGTCAGGGGTGCAGCAGAGAAGCTAGTCCTTCTAGATTGTCAGTAGGTAAGAATCACTGAATAACTTTTGGTTTCTTTATAGCCCTTCTTACTTTTAAGTGCTGGATATCTACAGCTTGCATTTAGTTACAGGTGGATGATAAAATTAAAATACATACCGGTAACAATCTAAAACGCCTGTTTTCTGAGACTAGTCTTTGATATACAAGATAGTTTTACCTTTTTTTTTTTCTGCCAGAATGCAGTAGTTGTTCTTTTTCTCATCTCCCTGTCTTCCTTCTCTGTTTTACTTCTCTTCATTCTTATCCTCACCCCCAAAATACCCACATCCATTGAATGAAAGTGTGATACCATTTTGAAAAGATAATCTTCTTCGTTACTTCTGTGTCTTCTGCATATGTGTGTGTATGTGTATACTTGTATGATACAAAAATGAATGTCATCCTTAAATCTCATGGTATAACCTGATTACACTTTATTACAAACAATATAACTCAAAAATATCAGTTGATTTTGATGATATTGCTGCATTCTTTGGTTTGTATTTTGATTTTTACCTTAACTGTATTAACTTTATATTTTCCTTCTTTAGAAAGCTGTGGGGTTTTTTAATTTTTGTTACTGTTGATTAACTTGATCTTGAGGACAAATTCTGAGTCAATCCTATGTTCATGTTTTTCATTGCTTGTTTCCTCTCCATCCTTTTCAAGAGGTTTTTCAGCCATTCTGTAAAGAGTTGGTAAATCCCCATTTTTACCTAAGTGAAGAAATAATTTCGTTGAACTGCTACAGTTAGTGTAATCCAGCACAATCAAGAAAGTGTGTGGAAACAGTTATGACTTATAATACAACATAATCATCAGTGTCTTTTCTTAGAAATACATCTTTGATCTTACTGCAAAAGAGAATTGCATTAAAACTGCAACTTTTCTTATGTCTTCTCCCTTCTGTGCTGCTGTTTGTCTGTACCCTGAATCATACTAGCGCGAGGCAGCCGCATTCCTCGGCCTAGTGTGAGTCAGGGGTGCAGTCGGGAGGCCAGCCGTGAAAGTAGCAGGGACACAAGCCCTGTCCGCTCTTTTCCGCCCCTTGGTAAGTACTGGAGCCCCTTGTTGTGCATGGCTGTCTTTGCCCTCCGTTATTTGCACCTAACGAATCCATGCCTCCTTCATTTAGCTTGTAGCCAGCCACCTGTTATTTTCTCTTCCTTTGGCTCACTCACCACTTACTTCGATAGAGAATTGACCAATGTGTGAATGGGTTGCACACTTGAAAAATAAATGCTTTGCTAGTGTTAGTCTTATCTTAAATACCAAGGCTGGAAAGATGTGTGATATGTAGCACCTAGATCTGAAAGGGCAATTCTACTTTTGGAAAGTTTATTGGAATTCTATGTTTCTCTTTTAGTACAGAGCTCATTGCTTGGATGCAGTTAGATAATCCATTTCTCACTGAGCAGCCAAGAGCAAAGAATATAGTGTGGCTGTCATTCTCTGCCTTGCCCTGCATCAACAGCTAGGGTCTTCTATTATTCAAAATTGCTCCCTAGTCAATGAATCATTTTGGCGTATAAGAAAGAAAATACGCTTCATTTTGTGACTTAGGTGTATTGTCATCACTGTATGATGTGAAAAAATAACAAATTTTAACTTTTTGCTATTAAAGCAGGTAAATATGGTGCAGATAAGGGACCAACCTACTGAAGCAGAACTGTATTCTGAGGCTGCTTTCTATTTTCTAAAAATTAACAGGGCAAGTAGTGAAGTCCTTACATAGGTAGACGAACAAAGTACAGTTCTGAAGTTTACTTTTAATCTGTGTAGAGCAAGTGATAAATAATTGAAATAGCAGCTGTTGTTACATAGGGAAGAGCAGGAACTGAAAAATTAACGTTCACACATGCATAGCTATGTTCAGTCCTCATTTCCAGAGGTGCTATAAGCAAAAGTTTTGTTTTCACTTAGTATTTCAATTTATTGGCCTGACACCTAAAAGAGTTTGCAAGATTTTCAAACTGTTGCCTGTTTCTGAAATGTCAGTGAGGCATAGGAACATTAGCTTATAATTACATTAACATGATGTTGGTTAAGGGTTAGGGAAGCTTCTCATCTCCATGCATCCTTGTCGAGGTTACTTCGAAGTTGATAGTAAGTTTTTATAAAAGTCTTTTTGCATATTGGGCCTTTTTTCATTGTTTGGTAATACAAAATGGTCTTTGTAAGATTGTGTCTGAAACTGATCTTTTTTGGCATTATCTTTGAGTTAGTCTTGAGTACATACTGCTTCTTTTGTTTGTTCGAGTGTAGTTTACAGTTAAGGACTTGGTAATACTAGCTGTTCAACATAGTCTGAAAAGAGTAAATCTCTGTTTTCTATCTCAAATTGAGGCACCCGGCTGTACTTTTAATTAGCATTGGAAATCTATTGCGTTCTGTTAAGGCAGTATGCTTCCTGTCAGCCATGGTTCTATTGGGAAAGTACAGATTAATTGAATGAAAGCTGTTTCAATAACTAATGCTAATTTGCCCAGACGCTATTTAATTGGGAAATTAAATTAAAAGTAGACATTATGCAGGATCCATTAGTAAACTTTTATCTTTTACTAAAACACAGCTGGCAGACACATATCTCTTTGTTTCAAAAAGGAGGGTATTTTCCAAATCTTTTTGTGCTGCTTTTGCTCCTTACAGCTTGAGTTCAATCGCATGCATGCGAGATCTGATTTACATTTTTTATTTGGTCAGATGCTTGATATCTTAAGAAATCTGTGTTAAACTGATACTGTAAGTTGGGTCATTGGGGTGGATGCTACTTGAGGTTTTGTTTTTATTGATGGAGTTTAATTTTAGTGTTCAGATTTCAAAACAAGTGCCTATACAGATACAATAGGTTAAATTGTCTGATAGCACAGAGAATGCAAAGTAGCATATGTAGGAATCCAGTGTTGTTAAAAGAAAAAAGCAGCTATACTTGGAATAAATGAGGATTCCTAGGATTCCTTCTAGTATGCCTTCTTACTTGAATGATTTCAAATGTCATTTGACATTGTTTTGTTGAACCAGTTTTGTCGTATGGGATGCCATTAACTTCTATCAGAAGTATTAAATTTAATGTTTTTCAGAGGTACAAGGGTAAGATGAAATAAGGCACATTCAGCTGTGTGTTTGTAGCTAGAGACAGTTGGAGCAGGGAATGAAATTTGTATTGCATCTGATTCTCAGCACAGATATTTTTACTTGCAAATGCGAAGACCTTTGGGGAATAAAATGATCCAAATGCTACATAATTGCTTCTCTGTATATATCAGTATGAAGTGTTTATGCAATCTCACATCTCAGTGTAAGATTATAAACTGGGAGATAACAGCCACTCTGAGAAGCAGGTGATTTTTAAGTTATATGGAAATACCTGTTTTTCTGTTACATACAGTTAATACTAAACATCGGACTAGAATAATTTCCATATTTTAGCTAAGAAATTGTTATTTTGAGACCATTTAAAATCTTGTTTCGATTCATCTTTTAAAAAGTGAAAGCACAAAAGTAAATACGTGCACAATTTCTGCAATTTGAGGGGTACAAAGAATATTCATGAAAATACGCTTTGGAATGAGGTGTGTTTGATCCAATATAGTGCTTCCTTTCACTGAAATATCCTGGGCAGTTTTTTAAGACAAATCTATATGGGGGCAGGATTGTCTTGAATTATATGCCTAAACTTTGAAATTTAGTTGTGCCTTTAATTTTCAGGGCTTGTTGATGGAAAGCAATAGAAAGGTTTATCCCATTATTGCTTGCATTTAAAGCTCTGCCAGCCTTGATGCCTATGCTTTGACATCCTCTGTCCTGTCTTCTTTTCCATGCCAAGACGTACTTTCTAAAGAACCAAGTATTCCACAAAGCACTAGTTGCAAAATGAAATTCCCTAGCTAAACAACTTCATGCAGATTTCATTTGAAAAAAAAATGTCGCTGTACCTTGTGTAAGGAGTAGAGCTTTATGTGGAAAAACCCAAAATGTTTCCTAGACCTTTACAGGGCTTGGGAACATTTTGGAGTTCACTCAGGTTGAAAAGCATGCTTCTCCAAATGTGATTTGGTCCGTGTTGGGGTTATTTAATTCAACTCTGACTCTTAAATTGTCTGTGTTAATCAGAGTAAAGGATGATTCACTTGGTTCCTGGTTTCTATTTATACTACTTTATGTAGCCAAAAGGTGTAAAGTATTTGCTTTTACAGTTACTTATTGTATCGTAAGATTATATCTGGAGTTTATGACGTTGTGAGTGGACATTTGAATTCAAGATAAAATTGTCAAAACCAGTTTCACTTCTGTGGCTGTAAAATTCTATCTTAAGTGAACTGAAGAAACAAGATGAATTTTTTAGAAACACACTGCATTTAGAATTAGTAGGTTTAAGAAAGTTGACTCGCAATTGCTGGTATTTTCTTCTTTAGAATCTCTAAAAGACCAGTTTTATACAAGTGCCAGAAGGAGGAGGGTACTCAGTTTTATTCAAAAGTCCTTAAAGATCTTTGGTTCCCGCTTTCCATAACTTTAAAGAATCTTAATGACCTATAGTAACTAATATAAAAGTTTCAATTTTGCATTTTATTTATTTAAAGAACACAGTACAAATGTGAAATATTAATTGCATTAACTTATTTTAAACTTTTAATGTAAATTGAATAATTTTCATTTGATCTACACAGTAGTTAGTTTTAACTAAGGTTGACTTATCTGCGCATAGGGAAGAGTTCACATTGATACAAGTTATCAGCTGCTAACACAGTAAGTTCATACAGTAGTCACTTTTTGCAGATAACCTTTGGTATGTGAACTCTTGCTCTGATTTGATGGCATAAATTCAGTTAACTCTACAGTGGAAGACCAGTATCAGTGGAACTTTGACATATTTCTGAGGATTCTGTGTGTGTGTGTACGTGCATGTGTGTCTATGCATTTTTTTCTTTGAAATTAAACATAATTGCTTTTAATCTGCTCTTAATATTTTAAATTAAAAAAAATGTGCATGAAATGTCCAGTGTACATAAAGCTATATAATTCTATATAATCATATTCTATATAATCAAAGAACTTCTCTGAAGCTTTTTCCTTCTGTGTAATACTTGGTTTCTTGTGCTAAAGCTAAATCTTTTTGATAAATATTCTCTTGTTCATCTAAGCAACTATTGCAGCACTTGGTTCCATGGTAATAGATAGGGTTTATATGATCATGTTATTGCAGCTTCCAGACATCACTCCAGATCCACTGGTGCCCTCTACACCCCTGATGTTTATGGGGCTACAGGTGAAGGATGAGTACACTTTGCTGTCGTCTGTGCAGTCATCCTGGATTATTTTTTCCTACCCACTTGGTTATTCTCATAGTTCAGTTTTAAAAAGCATTATTTGTATTAATTTGAGTTTTGTGGTTTTAATAATCCAGATAGATGTGTTTATGTTGCTAGATTTCGTCTCCACCCTCACCCTCCAACGTTAATCCTTTTCTTCCTTAACAACAATCATTTTATTTTTACATGCAGAAGAACTTTTTTTAGTTTTCCATTTTGCAGTATTTGTAGAGCATTCTTTATGCATGTAGTTTTCTCACCAGCACTCTCAATAGCCTTCCTATTGTATTTGCTCTCTTTTTAAATGAAAACAAAAACCCAAAACGAAGAAGACATAAATTTTTTTTTAAAAAAAAAGTATCTTTCAGTTAAAACCATTGTTGTGTGGGATTTTCCCCTTGTGATACTGGAATAGAACGTTTATATATGACTCTGTTTTTTTACTTCATTTCTTCTTGCTGCACCACTGAAGACTTTAGAATGAAAATAACCAGTATTTTAGCCACTACAAAATTTATTAGAAATGTTGAGCAAATGCTTTTCTTCTGCTTGGGTTTTTTTAGGTGAGTGTGGTGTTAATGTCCCACGTTGCTATTCTGACTGAATTCTTTATATTCATTTTTGTTGTTACTATAACAGGTACCGGCTTTGGAATTAGTCAGTCAAGTAGATTGTCATCATCAGTCAGTGCTATGCGAGTTTTGAACACAGGTTCTGACGTGGAAGAGGCAGTAGCAGATGCTTTGGTAAGAATCTCACACTTATCTTTTGTAGAATTCAGACTCTTAAAATGTTCGGTACCTATACGTTAAAGTATGCAAAAGAACTTGTCATTCATTATTTTATTGGCTTCTAGGTGGGGAAAAAAGAGAAACTGAATTGCCAGAGCTGCAAAGTATTGGAATTTTTATTACCTACAGAAGTCTTAACTGTTGAGAAATGTACACTTTTCCATGGCAGACAGGGAACAGTCTTGGACTGTTCTGTTGGAGTGGCCCAAGGAGCCACTTGAGCAGGTAGCACTAAACAGCAGTTTTCCATAACAGCCAGACAAACTTCTGGATAGGTTGAAGGCTTGACAGAGCTGGTGAGTGATGACAGCTAAAGTCCTCTGCTTATCATAAGCCTGGGTTCTGTTTAAAGTTGTTCTGTCTGACAATACATGAGAAGAGATAAATTGATGGCTTGGCGGGTGGCATTTCGTAAGTTTAGGTTTTGTTTTCTTTTATTTTCCAAATGTTACACTGAATTTAAAACTGGTTATGCCCTTCTCTTTCTTAACCTCTACTGTTCTTTAAAAGGGTGGGTTTTGCTCCTCTACCTCCCTGCCCCAGTTAGCCAAACTGAATGCATCATGTATTTTGCTGTTCTGACATTTACATCAGCAGGCTGAAATCTTCAATTAATTAGAAATACTGACACTATGAATCAGATTTTTATCATGTGTTGTGTACTACTTGCATATCATTTAATATTTGTAAGCACCTGTTATCTAGTTATCAGAATGCTTTAAGGAATTTTATTACTCTGCTTTAACAAAAAGATTATTTGGAACACTAGTAAAAAAATACAAATTAGACTTGAAAAAAAAAATTAATTATAGCCAGATAATGACTGGATAGAGAGAAACAAAATTTCAAAGGAAAGAATCTGAAGAACTCTTTCATGTTCTTAATCTGGCGATTTATTGATTTCTTGGTTAATACTGTCTTCTTTGACACATTAGTGAAAAATTGTGTGCCTTCACTGGCATAGGTATCAGGATACCTATTAAATCTTGCCCAAGAGATCATGGTGAGATTGAGTGGGTTTTCCCCTTTCTGATATTGTAAACTTGCAAAAACTTTTCAGCATTGATGGGGAATGCTAGTTAGTAAACTGGAAGTCAGTCTGGATTTTGGAATAGAGAGCAATAGAAAAACAGTCCATGGAACATGAAAAGTTTCTGACTATAATTTGAAAGTCTGTGCTATAGATTTATCTACACTGGTGCTATATGAAGACTATCTTTAGTGCTTCTGGAAGCTTCGTAGCTTGTTCCGATTTAGCTGACCAAAGTATATGCTAGGAATATAAATTGAAGAGAAACTCATGCTTCCACTGACTGCTCTTGAGGATTGAATGTGTCCAGCTTTGTTGAAGCAATAAAATTTATTTTTAAATAAAAATTTGTATTACCTGGATCCAAAATAGCATGATGCTTCTAGAAATGGTAGAGGAAAATTAGTTTGTATATTTTAGCTAGCATCTGCCATTACAAAGAAGGACCAAGAGCAGCAACATTTTATTATTGTAGTATTTGCGTGCCTGGTTGCCTGCCGTGCTCTAAATGTACAAGTTGTCCTGTACAAATGGCTCCATTTAGATGGAAATCTGCTTTTGAACATCCTTCTTATTTTATGATAGACTGA